TAGTTACTAGTCACATAATTAGTTCATAAATGATAAACAATCCATATAAAATGGTTGCAACTAAAATTCAGTTTAAACCAATCACGTTTGTAAGATATCTTGTTGGTTGGCGGAGAGAATGGGGTAGAGTAGGAAGGGACTGTGCCAGCCCTGGAATTCCTGGAGCTAAGTTCATATCAACTAGGGCTGGAAATATAAGAGCCAAGATTATGACCTTGCCTTTGAATATCAGTACCCCTTACTGTTAAATGTTCTGATTCCCCCAGTCCTCAGTTTTTCTCTGCATGCAAAATATAGTCTTAAATAAGTAGCAAAATGGTATATTTCCAAAATAAACTTTGAAAACAATAAAACACTAAAGTTTTCATGACCTGTTGCTCATGATGTAAGTAGCAAAATGGTATATTTCCAAAATAAACTTTGAAAACAATAAAACACTAAAGTTTTCATGACCTGTTGCTCATGATGTAATAGCCAATGGCTGTTTGGAAGAAGAGGGGGAAAAGTTTGTTTCATAGCTGTGTGGTAGGATTTGAAGCAGTTTACCTGTATATCCACTAAAAGTCTGTGTGTAATGAAGGAACATTTTTACTTTTATCCTAGAGAGGGAATGAAGAAATTTGCAGATATCTCACTAGGAGCAAAACTCCTGCGTTTGTTTGACTTTGGTCACTAAGTATTAGGAGGCTACAGGACTTTGTTTACTGTTGATGCTGTCCCTAGATTGTCAATTTCAAAACTAGCCCTTGGGGAAACAGTAGTTTTGAGAAAAACAAGATTTTTGTTTGGTCTTAATAGTTGGAAAATGCAGCATATGAAATATCCCCTTAAAAATATATCTAAGACTAAGTGGTCCTGCATTGGAAGCATGGTTTTACCTATTTCATCTAGTTTTGGTAAGATTTTGGGCATTCACTGTAGTAAACCAGCTGAGTGAAGCTAAGTCTGAAAAGTGTTGTCTGGGGCAGTAAAAGATGAAACTGATAAAAATACTGCAGTCCTTGAGGGTATTGGAAGTGGCTGGGGAGTGTATATATAAATCTAGATGCAGAAGTTTGAAGAGTCTGGTAGAGATTCTGAAATCTCAGCTTTCTGCCAGTCTAATTTTGAAGAAGAGTTTTATAAAACAACAACAACAAACTATTAAATGTCAACCATGTGATATACTTAGTTGATTTTAAAATGTAACATGCCATTCATTGTTTTGAGACTACCCTTTTAAAATTGTTTCCTTTTTTTTTTTTTAAACTCTCTGAAGTGATCAGCAAACATTTTTTATTTAAAAGAAAAAAAAAACAACCCACAAATACAGTAGTTCCCTCTTACCTGTCAGGGATAAGTTCAAAGCCCTCCAGTAGATGCCTGAAACCAAGGATAGTACTGCTCCCTATGTAGTGCATAGGCTGTTTTTTCCTGTATATACATATCCAGGATAAAATTTAATTTATAAACAGCTTAATAATAAATGAGAACAGTTGCAACAATGTTTTGTAATAAAAGTTATGTATTCAAAACTAGTAGTAGTATATTTTCAGGCCTCAGTTGATGGTGAGTAGGTGAAACCACAGGAACCAAAACTAGATACAAAGGGCTACAGTAATTCTATTAGTGAGGATTTTTCAGCACCTGCATTACGTTTTTCCAATAATAAAAGTTCTGTTCTTTCTTAAAAAGACATTTGATGACTGTGGCATCTTACTGTTGGGTTATTTTTGGTTTGTTCCAGTGGTTTTCAACTCAGGTGATACCACCCCACTCTACCCTCTGTCTCAATATTTGGCAATATCTGGAGACATTTTTGGTTGTCACAATTCAAGAAAGGGTACTCTTGGCACCTGCTGGATAGAAGCTAAATATCCTACAGTGCCTTGATAGTCCCCAAAACAAAGAATTATTTTGCCCAACATAGTGATAGTTCTGAGAGAAAACTTAATCTATTTGGAAGAAAACTGTATGGGCTGTCATTCCATGGGCTTTACTATTTGTGTTTCTTTAGAGTATCTTTTTTGAATGCCTTCTGAAGATGCAGAAAGAAAATTACCAACTTTCCTCCCTCCCTCCCGTCCTTTCTTGTAGACTAGTGCTGTGCCACTCCAGACATATCCCCAATAGCTTTCATTTTATCATTGAGGCTGTGTCCTTCCAGTCTGACTCCAGTCTCAGTTCTACCTCTTACTGGTTCTTCACTCCGTGTTTCTGTCTGTCTCTCCCTCTCTCTCTAGCCCTCTCCATCTCCCCACCTCTCTTCTCTCTGCAGTATCAGAGGTTGAACCTAGGTTCTTGTGCATGCCAGGCAAGGGCCGTATAGCTGAGCTGCATCTCTACCTCATTACCAGTCCTCCTCAGTTTGAATTTATACATTTTCTTCTTGACAGTCCTGTCATTGCATATTCCTTTTGGGAAATTTCATTAACTTCCCTGGCCTCATGTGCTAGTTATACACCAGTGAAGCACCTGTTTGTAGCCCAGGTCCCTCTCTCAAACTGCAGATGGGGTGTTTCCAGTGACCTGTTGAACACTTCCAACTCACAGGTGCCAGGGGTTGAGTTTTAGCAACAGAGCCCATTAATACATGCCCACTTCTCCCCAAATAAAAGATGTAAGGAGTTAAGATTTTTTCCTGTCTTCTCCCCTACATTCTTCTTCTTTTACTTCCTTCATCTATGTCTTCCAGTCTTTTCTGTGAGATGAACTAACTAAAAAAAAAAAAATTAATTATGTAGCTTAAAAAACTCCCAAGATCTGTCATTGCTTCACGCTTGCTTGGTAAACACTCTGCCACTTGAGCCATGCCGCTGACCCTGCTTCCTTTTTTTTTTTTAAATTAATATTTTAAGTTTTTTTCAGATTGCTTAATATTTTTTGCCTGCACACTTTTATCATTATTGATGTAGAGTAATCCTTGAATTATCATAAACTTTTATACTTAGTATTTAAGTTTACAAATGTCCAATTTTGGAGCCCTTTCACAATTGACTCCACCCTTTTTGCCAGCCTTATTCATTTCTGTTACAATCTTGTGAAGTTTATTTCAATTTCTGACTGCCACTTCTACTCGCTGTAAGACCTTGGGCAGCACAGTCAAAATGGTGTTAGTAGTATTTTCATGGATTATGAGGATGAAATGAAATACTGTGTTTAAATGCATTAGTTCAGGGCCTGGCACACAGTAAACACTGGTTTTGTTGTGACTGTCTTACTCCTCAGCTGGAGTATCACTGCACCCAGTGTGGAAGATCATTTGTGTTTGACCACACTACTCTCGAGCCCTGGAATGCCTTTTTCTCTCCTCTTCTCACTGTGTCTACTCCTTTTCCATCAGATTCCAGCTCTTTCTTCAGCATGCAGGCCCTTATCACCCACTCCCTCTTTTACATTAGCATTCCCTTGTTTTGGTGTTTTTGTACATACTTCCATTTGGATCACTGTACTTCATTACTGTTTGTACCTTGAGTTCCTTTTTAGTGATAGAGATTAGCTCTCAGTCTATCTCTGTCCTGGTATTACTTGCCATGCCTTGCAGCTAGTAGGTTTTTTTCAGTCAGTAAATTTAATGCTGTCATCCAGGTTATCTCATTTAATCCCTTCAGACACCCTGTGTTAAGTAGGTGGTGTTGCCTCCAGTTTCCAGATAGGTGGGAAACAGGCTGCATGAGGTTAAACTATTTGCTCCAGGCTACTTTCTTTGTGTGTGTGTGTGTGTGCTATAAATCTAGAATTACCCACATTTAACAACTTACTGCTATCATATAGATGTCCTCTTAAATTTTACCTTTGTCTTTACTTATTATATAAATAGAATAGCATTTAAGTTTAGTAAAATATTTCTTGATGATTATCTTAGATGCATCTTGGTGCTAACTTTGTGATGTGTAAAACTGCTCAAGAATTGGAATTCTGCTGATTCAGAATTGGTATAGTTTCATCTGTGTAGACCTTACTTTCTTTGTAATATTACTTGGCAAGATAATTGGGCAAATAAATATGCATTACATTTTATAGAACATTTGCTTAATAAACATGTAAAGTAGTTTATATTTTTTTCAAGATTTATTCCAGTTTTTCACTAATTTCAATTAGGCTTTATTAGATGTTATACATTTAACAACATCCTTCAGAAAATCATGTTTTTATATAATTGATAGCCCTTTTTTAATCCTAATGTAGGACTGTTGCTTTATCATGTAATAAGTTAAGATGATTTACAGCTTTTGTATTCAGTGAAATACACTGATTCAAATAGCTGTGATAGCAAAAGGGGGGGTTAGGAATAAGATTATCAATAATTTAAAGCAACATTGGCAGTGTTTTGATTCCAAAGAATGAGCACATTTCTTCTTTGAAAGAACAAAGTATAAGCTGGGCTCCAGTAGTTTGTGCCTGTAATTCTAACTACTTGGGAGGGAGATTGGGAAGATAGAAGTTTGAGGCCAATCCATGCAAAAATTTCGTGAGCCCGCATCTCAACAGAAAAAGACTGGGTATGGTGGCACGTGCCTATCACCCCAGGGAGGGTAAGAAGCATAAAACAGGAGTTTGGCAGTCCAGGCTGGTCTGGGCAAAAAGCAAGACCCTGTCTCAAAAATAATAAGAACAGAAAGGACTGCAGGCATGGCTCAAGTGGTAGAGTACCTGCCTCACAAGTGTGCATCATGGGTTCAAAAGCTAGTTCCACAGGGGGCAGGGGAGAAAGAGTACAGTTGAAGAGAAGCAGTATTTATGGCCCCATTATATAGTGTTCTTTAAATTTAATCATGGCTTTGTTCTGTTTTACTGTTTTTGTCTTTAGGTTTGCTTGTTTAAAAAGTATTCATAAGCATTATCTGTCATTACTGAGCATAGTAAGAGAAAAATTTCATTAGAAAGTATATCCCTGAGTTTGATCAAAGTATATTATATGCATGTATGTGAATATCAGAATGAAATCTTTGTACAATTTATGCTAATAAACTTAAAAAAAATTTCACCCCTACAATGGTAATTTTTATATTTCATTATAGGGAAGCTATGCGAAATTATTTAAAAGAGCGAGGGGATCAAACAGTGCTCATTCTTCATGCAAAAGTTGCACAGAAGTCATATGGAAATGAAAAAAGGTAAGATTACATTTTTTCTGGTGGATAGTTAATTTTAGTTATCACAAATCTGCAAGGTGTGTATTTAAATTAATGTCTGAGGTTGGTTTCTATTACTGGATTAATGAGGGGAAAGGGAATTTTTTTTGGTTGGTTGGTTGGTTTGGTGTTTTTGTAATTTTTGAGACTGGATCTCTCCAGGGTAGCTCGGGCTGGCCTCAGAACTGGAGATTTGAGTGCTGGGATTATAGGCATGTACCATTCATTATGCCTGGTGGGATTTGTCTTTTGAAGGAAAGAAACAAATTGACTTGAGACATACTCAAACTAGAAGGAAAATTTAGTGAAGATTATCTGGCAAAATCTCTGATTTTTCAAAATTAAACCCACTTTTTCTTCTGGTGGCATTTCCTGAGTATTTTAGTAAAGCACTAACATTCACAAAGATGGTTTTCTTTTGGTGGCAAATGTACTTGTAGAAACAAATGCATGTCCCCATTTTTAAAGGAAAAGGTAAACAATCCCTTGAGCTAAAACTGTCTTAAGTTTAAGTTAGCTTTGGAGTCATTGCTAAGAAAATGTTCCCAGCCCCCCTCTCTAGACCCTGTGCCTGTTCTTGTTGTTAAAACCTGCATACATTGGGTTGCAGCAGTGCATGGTGGCGGCAATCCCTACTATTCAGGAGGCCGACACAGGAGGATTGCTTGAGCCCAGCAGTTCCTGGCCAACCTTACCTGACTTTACAGAAATCAAAGTTGAATTTAGCAAAGTAATCGTTACATTTATTATTTCTCACAGTATCTTACAAATTTCAGCGTTTTTTTGTGTAATTGTAGATTTCTAGGGTTTTTGTTGTTGTTGTTTTTTTTCAGATGATGCTACAGATCAAATCCAGGGCTTCAAGCGTGCTAAGGAAGTAGTGTACCACTGGGGTATATCTCCAGCTCCCAAATAATCATTTATGGCCCAATCCTTTCTGGGGGTGAACCCAGAGCCTTGGAGACTTGCTAATCAAGTGCGCTTCTTGATAGACATCCCCTGTTAGTTTTCTTCTCTTGTTTCCTGAAATTTTCTTGTTACTAGTTTCTTAAGTCATTGTTTTTTTCAAACAGCTTTTTTTTGTTGTTGTTGTTAAACCTTCATGGGTAAAGTTACCTGCTTGTGGAGAAAGATCAAAGGCTTTTTGGATTGGCCAGGAAAGCACCTAACTAAACTGGGAGGGAAAAAAAATGCAAATTTCAGTGGTTGGGTTAAAAGGAATGAGTGGAATCTTAGAAGTTGTAACAAAAAGGAAATTTTTAGCATATGCACAAGAGTAGGAAAAGTAGAAGTTTATAATTAAATTGATTTGCATGCTAGAAGGAAATTAGAAAGCACTTTTCCTGAAGTCATCTAAATCTGAGCTGAGAAGAAAGTGAAGCTGTTTAGTTATAATTTTCCTCTGTTTTATTTAGGTTTACTAAATTTTGTATTATTTTACCTTACTAATAAACTTAATCACTGGTTTAGAATTACATATAAGAAGAAGTTGGTGTGTATAGTTTGGGACATAGAAAATCAAATTGAAGTAACTGCTCTTTTTCATGAATTTAACACTGGAAATTTGGGTGTTTCTGTTTTGTTATTTTTTAAATAATGAAATTTAGTGTGTGTACACAGCGAGTCATTTTTTTTCCTAAGCAAAACAGAAACCAGCACCCTCGTCACTAATAAGGTCTAAAAGATCAGCTGTGCTGCTCACAGTGATTCTGAAGTAGACAGTTTCCATATGGTCTCCTCATGAGGAGGAGTGCTTCCCCAATACTTGATTTTAATCCTCAGAGCAATATGTTATAATCCCCATTTTGAAAGGAGAATAATGTGCTCAGGTTCATGTTAGTTAGGAATCCTCAGAGCCAGGATCAGAATTCTTGAGACTAAAATTGCAAATCCACATTCATTTATTTACTTTATATTAATTTAAATTCTCAAGAGTACACTGTCACATGGAGTCTATGTTGATAGTACCCTAAATTTCATAGCCTTCGTTGGTTAGCTATAGCAGGGATTGAAAATGGAGGAAATAAAGATACGTAAAAAACATAAACTTCGTTAACTTGAGTTTCACCTAGAACCATCCCTTACCAGTAGCTGGGCGAGACTGTGTACTGGATGTAATTAAATTATTAAGACATAATGTTTACCATATGGCTCCAAATTTGAGCAGTGCTCATACTGCTTTTCACTCTGTGGATTTTTGAAAGTGCATTTTATTACAATTGAATGTATTTATTAATTTATTTCTTATCTCTGATCACCTGTTAGGTGCCAGGTGCTATATAAAAGAACCTTTACAAAGTTACTGCCATGTAGTATTATGGTGTATAACTGAGGCTCGGTGCAGTAATGAAAGAAGAAGACCTATTGGAAAAATGTTAAAGTTCAGATAAGGTTCCTGTTTGATAGTCACCATTAAAAATACAAAGATGTAGTGTCTTAAGTTAAAAGATTTAATGATTATCTTTCATTGAAGTAGCCTTTATTTTTCAGTTTCCTTCCGGTATGTCTAGCCAGTCTATAATTCCATTTAAAAACTTAGAGTCAAGAAACTATGAAAAAGTAATGATGAAAATGCTAGAGTAAACTACTTTCCTATATTTTTACTTGTTAGAATTTCCAAAGTAGCCATAGACTGTCTGCCTAGCAAGCATATGGCCCTGAGTTCAAACCCCAGCACACCTCCATAAAAAAAGAGGGTGTATTAAACATGTATTACTTTGTGATAAAGGGGGAAACCCACTGAATTTACTTGATTTAAAAAAAGTATTACGGGTGCCAGTGGCTCATGCCTGTAATCCTAGCTAATCAGGAAGCAGAGATCAGGACTAGTAAGGTTTAAAGCCAGCAGGGCAAATAGTTTGTGAGATCTTATCTCAACAATACTAAACACAAAAAAAGGCTGGCTCAAGTGGTAGAGTGCCTGCCCGGTAAGCTTAAGGCCCTGAGTTCAAACCCCAGTACTGGGGGGAAAAAAAGAGAAGTGTTAGTAGTAAAGGACTGATGCCAGGCCTCTTGCTTGACCTACAAGCTCTGCTGAAGCTCTTTTGAGGATTAACAGGCCAGTGGCCTTTAGTCCTGTGGAGTTCCCAGTGGAAAGAGAAAGAACTCCCTGCTCTCTTGGACTACTAAAACATAAAGCATGAGGTGACCTGGGGACATGGCTCCATTTCTTTTGGCTTGCCTCTTTGGCAAAAAAAAAAATAACCCCAGTATGCAAAAAATACTTGGTCAGGAAATTTCATTCAAAATTTTAAAGTATTCTTGATATTAACTTTTGTGTCTAATAGCAACTACTTGCATAGCACATCCATTGTCCCATTCTTTTGGTTAGTTTTAATTTTTCTTTAAGGACGTTCTGCCCAGTTTAAAAAACTAAACTTACTAAACTATTGTGTCCTCATAAGGAAATATTAATATTCCACCTGACAGTAACATTCACTGTCTTCTGGTAAGCTGAGCAGTAGTAGTAGCAATGCTGGTGAGACAGCAGTGAAGCTATTTAGATACTATAGTTTTGAAGTCATACTAGAATTGTTTTAATTGGGCAACTGGTGTGCAAAAATCCCTACATACTCAGTCATTTTGAACTGAATATAGTCTGTTTGAACTGAGCATCAAAATGATTCTGCACAGGTAGTCACGTCATGTAAATAGATTTTGTCTAACCAAACTTCTTGTATTTATTGGGCTAAATAAGAAATCTTCTTTAAGTCTGTGAAGTTTCTTAAGATGCTAATCGGTTCTCAGAATTTGAAGAAAATGTTCTTGAATCTTTGAAAATAAGACTGTACTATAAGATCAATAAAATCTTAAATGTGCATATATTGCCACCAAGTGGTAGAGGAGAGCATTGTCATGATTGCTTGAAGCTACTGGGAAATAGGAGAAAATAAAGGCAACATTGTTTCATAGGATTCTGTAGAGCAGCTATTATGGTCTGTTAAGTTCACTGAGTGATTAAGACATATTGACCAAGTTTTAAAAATCAGCAGTTTCATACACCCATCTACAGGTGTATTTTGGTTTTTGTTTGGTTAATTATATGACCTTTTATTCTTATCTCCTGTCCCTTAAATTTTCTTTATTTGTATTGCCTTTTTTTGGTAGATATGCTTATCTTTTATTTGATTGCTGTATCACTACTGAATTCTATGGAAATGAACATTTGATCCTTCTGTTGCTTTCTTAGGGGTGCCAGTAATATACTATTTAAGATGTGATTTCATCTGCACCTTACAGAAATAATCTACAATGTTTAGAGTCTGTTGGGTTTGCTGTTTCTTATATCACAGCTTTTTTGAATAGTTACAGAATTGATATTTTTAAAAGGCTAGCTCATAGACTATTGAGTCTTCATTTTTCTTACATTTGTTACATACTTGGCAAGCCCTTTCAAGATACAACTTTGATGACTATTTTAAGTAAAGATGTCTTTATCTGCTTGCCTGATGTTATCCCATTAACCAACATTCCATCACTATTCTTTTATCATTTCAGCCTGCTTTATATTTTTCAGATTGAAATAAAAGTATATTTTGAGATAATTTCTTGAGATTTGACTACTACATTTGGTGTGATATGCTAAAGCATAGCTTTTTGAATTTTATAGCTGACACGCCAATTTATTTACTAAGGAGTCTTAATACCAGTGCAATAAAATACTAACAGGAGACAAGTTTCCAAAAGTTTTTCAGCCTCCTGAGTGTGCCAGTCTAGGTACTTGAGTCTGTGCCATGGTAAGCATTGGGTGGCTCCCAGCATTAAAAGCCAGAAAGATCCCGGGTGCAGACTTAAATTGAGCTAATTCCAAAATTAGCCCAGCTAATCCAGGCATCCTTCCAAACTTGTAGTGACCTGGAGCAGGGCCCACTACCTTGGCTGTGACCTTTATATCCATAGCCTCCTGGTGTGAGTAAGCAGGCATGAAAGCTGCTCTTTTCTTCTGGTTTAGATAAGTACAAGATTACAGAGGTTTCCCTCTTGGTCTTCAGTTTCGTCTCTAGGGCCCACTTGGTCTACTTACCCATTCCCTCCAGCTTCATCTGTTGATCCCCCTCCTTCTCTTTTTTTTCCCCCACTGTTGGTCATAGTTCCTATCTCAGAGTCTTTGCGTTTGCTCACCCTTGTACTGAAATGCTCTTATCTCCACATCCTCACATGGGTTTAAATGATAACTTTTAAAGTTCCGTCTTTCAGGTTCACATTTAAGTACCCCATCCCTTTTTATTTCTTTCCCTCAGTACTAATTGCTAGCTAACAGGGTATATATGTTATTTTACTCATTTTTTAATTGTGCCTTTTCTATTAGAGTCCTTGTTTCACTAGAACAAGAATTTTGTGTGTGATTTTTGTTTGTTTTTATTATTGTATTTCCAGTATTTAGAGATAAAATAGTTTGGAGAACTAATAAATAATAAATAAGCCCAAATCATTCTTGTAACTTATATGTAAAGTACTTGTAAAGTAGTGTGGTTTGGATTGTGAGGTAAAGATGATTCAGTTTGCTAAGTGCTGTAGTACATGCTGGAGGGAAAGCAAACAGGAAGTCGATGCTACTTACCTTCAGAAAGGCCAGAGAGCCACATCTGTCCTCCTGGTGTGCCATAGGTACTTGTGCATGCACACACACTTTTTAAATCCCACCCATTACCCCCTCCCCTCCCCCCTTTTTTTCTTTTTGTCTGGAATTTTGTGTAAAATTTGATTCTGGGTATCTGTTAGACTCCATAATTCAGTAGTGTGATTGTGAGTAGGTATATATTCACATTTTCAGACATGCCCTATTTTCTCAGTAGCTGATTATCATTGCATTTAAGTTCATGTTTTTCTTTTGGTAGGATTAACAGAATTAAGTAGCGTTTTTTCATACTCATAACTATAAGAATGTTGGATTACCACGAGGTCTTTTGTTTCAGGAAAGAGAGGAAGGGACCTGTTTCTATGGGTGATTAAAGAATATTCCTATTCATTTATTGTATACCTGGTTCATTCATTTATATTCTGACCTGGCTACCATAGGATTTTGGATTTTCAGGACCCTTAATTTAGGTTTTCACACTATTTGGGGAGACATATCAGAAACATTTTAATGTATGTACATACCAGCAGGTATAATTGAGCAAAAGGGAATTGTACCCTATGTAATGACTAGATTTAGTATGAACTATACAAAATAGGTTTGAGCTAGGCTTTGAATTTTTTTTTTTTTAAGATTGTTACATAGAAGATTATAAGGAAGTCATTCTAGATGGGGAGAGTTTGTGAGGGTAGTTGTTTAGTAACTAGGAAAACAAACCTATGAGTAGTTTATGAGTTCAAAACATACAGAATATTGTTCTCTTAGCAAAAAACATTTCTTGGTCCTTTACAGTATATCAGTGTTCAGGGGATGGGATCCACAAAACACTACTCTCGCATGATTTATACTCCAGTAATCCATTTTTATTTATTCCTTAGTTTACTTAGTTTTATTAATAGTTTTTAAATTCCTTCTGAAGGCATTGCTCTAATGCAGTTTTCCAGTTTAACTGCCAAATAGGTTATGTATAACATCCATAACAAAAATAGCATTAATTAATAATTATATTTTTTGAGTAGACCTTAAAAAGTAATCACAAATTATGTGATGATATATCATATTTTAGACATTGGATTTGTTGAAATCCCACAGTTCAGAACTTTGAGCTATATGGAAAATTAAAGAAAAGTTCTCTGCTGTGAGAAGTATCTAGTGTAACTGAATGCATAACTCCAAGATTTTACCAGAACAGCTGTGAAAGTCTATACTGTGGATGTGATTGTTGGCATTATAAAACTTTTCATAGGTGCTAGCTAAGTGCATTTTTCCAGTATAGTTTTGTATTCATATGTTCAAGAAAATTAAATGTCTTAAATGTAATTGTTTTGTGTTTTTTTCTTACATCATTATTCTTAGGTTCTTTTGCCCGCCTCCATGTGTGTATCTTATGGGCAATGGATGGAAGAAAAAAAAAGAACAAATGGAACGTGATGGTTGTTCTGAACAAGAGTCTCAACCATGTGCATTTATTGGAATAGGAAATAGTGACCAAGAAATGCAGCAGCTGAACTTGGAAGGAAAGGTACAGCAAGACTATTAGTTCCATGATACCAGAATGTAGCTTTCTTATTTTTGTGGTGGTTGATTTTTTTTTTTTAAATGGCTGTTAGTAATAATTTCTTGAATGTATATACTAGAATCAGATCTACACTTCTCAAATAGCTGTGATCTAGTCGTGATTCAGAGAGCCCATGCAGTTAGCATCTAAAGGTGGCGTGCAGCTTGCTGGCAGGTTTCTTTTAGAGGCCAATGATAAGTGTAGGTGACTGATCACTCATCTGTCCAACAGGAATGTGTCAACGAAGATACATTATCCAATGATGTTTTACTCTACCACCTTAACCTATGTATTATATTGGAAGCAGTGAGAAGAGACAAATTCTTACAAGCATTTGTCTGGGTGAAAAAGATCATTCTTTATTTTACATCAGTACAGAGCTGTGCTATAAACAAAAACAGCCACAATTAGCTTTACTCAGATTTTTAAAGGGGATTTTCTTTGACTAATTGGCTGGGGAAAGAAATTTATCAAGCGGTTTTTACTAACTATTTTGAATTTAGAAAGCAGCACCTGTCAGTCTGAACCTTTAGTCCTGAAAAGTAATTATTCATTTCAAATTTAACTACTTTTCTCCTTAATATTAAAATTTGAAAGTAGCTCTGATCTCAAGAACTACACGAGTACTTTTTAAAATGGCACAGAAGGGCTATCTCCTTAGTCAGCAAACCATGGTTCCATATCTTAGTGGTTGCTGCTTTGTATTTGGCAGTAGGATGGGAGTTGGAGAGTAGTGCTAAGGGTGGTGAACCAGGAAACTGACTCAAAGTCAAGTTTTAGTTATTTTCCAAAGAGTAAGTACTAAGCCTTAATATCAATCGTCTTCAAATCTGGCATGTTAACTATGTATTTTAAATTTGGTTTGGGATAATACTTAATACAATTAATGATTGTTCATCTTAAAAGAAAATAGAGACCAGGTATGGTGGCTCACCCCTGTAATCCCAGATACTTGGGAGATGGAGATAGGAGGATTGTGGTTCTTGAACCAACCTGACAAAAAAGTTGGCAAGACCCTATCTTAAAAAAATAAGCCAGATGTGGTAGTACACATCCGTAATCCCAGCTATGTGAAAGGCATAAGTAGGAGGATCACATTCTAAGGCTGGCTTGGGCAAAAACATGAGACACTATCTGAAAAAATAACTAAAGTAAAAAGGACTGAGGGTGCGACTCAAGTGATAAGTCCTGAGTTCAAACCTCAGTACTTCCTCTGCCTCCCTCCTTCCCCCAAAAAGGGAAGAAAGGAAATAGAGCAGTAAAACCATATCTAAATTACGACTTGAGCTAAAGTAAAGAATGTATTTAAGTGATAGATTGATCAAGCAGATCTTAGTCATGTCTCATCTGTTTCTTGTTATGTAGAAAGTCTCAGAGTTGCATGATGCAAGTGGCACACAGTGTGTGAATGTACAGATCAGATTGGGAGTGAGAGGCTAGGGGTTTGAGCTACCAATGTATGCACTGTTGAATCAAACTTCATTGCTCACGGTAAGCCTTCCAGTGAGGTAATACCAAACCAACCAACCAATAGCATCTCCGTTTATCTTTCCTACTGTCTTGGCTTAGTAATACTGTGTTCAGATTCTGTGTCCTCAGGAGCTCCCTCAGCATGAACATCTTCCTTCTGTTCTGCATTATATTTTTCTCTATCTTATATCATTACATATTTTCCCCAAAGCCTAGAAATTGGTAGAAGCACAATACCTGCAAGATTGAGTATTTAACTAGTATTTGAAATACCTACTAATAGGGTAATACAATGTCTATAAGCCAAACTTGCATATTAATGTTTAATTTTAATGAAAAATGCTTTTGGAGAGGTCTGTATATGGCTGAGAGTCAGTAGAGAGCATTGCAGGCAGACAGAACAGCATAAGCAGGTTTGGAGAGCATAAAGCTGTAAGAGCATGATCTGTCTGAGGTAGGCAGGGATGCCAAGCTTCACAAAGGCACACTTTGCCTCCTGTCTGCCTCTCTCAACGTTTGTTCGCGTAAGGAAATTGTGTTTTCTTTCTATAGTCTGTTTGTTGTATGGCACAATTATCATCAAAAGATAAGGGAACTCTGAATAGTGGATCACACTTGTAATCCCAGCATTTGGGAGGCTGACTCAGGAGAATCACTGTTGAAGGCCACCCTGGACTACATAGCAAGACCTGGTATCAAAAAAAGGATATTTTGTATTGTTCGGTGTTCGTACTAATTTCAACAGCAGAATTTTTGCACACTCAGGCCTTTAAATTTGTGTTCATAATATTAGTATGTTGGATCTGAAATTTTATTTAATAGCTCATTCAGTTTGCTAAATACTCTTTTTCTTCAATTTTACATTTTATGTAGTTGCAGCAAGTTAAGCTATGAAAAAAAGGATCACTGCTCTGATTAGCACACTTCTGTTTTTATTTCTAAAAATTAGTCTTATTAGCACTATTTTATTTCTAAAGTTCAAGTATTTCTTCAATATTTTTGTACCCTATCTAGTATTATTCATTTCATGGCTTTGTATTGCCTAAAGATCTTACCTTTAAAGAGTTATTTTTAAGTTAGACTGTGTTCATTATTTTTAGGGAGATTATTACTATTTTTTGGTGGTACTGGGGTTTGAACTCAGGACTTCAGGTTTGCTAGGCAGCTGCTGTACCTCCTACTCTAGAGAGATTATTATACGCCATTTTTTGTCTACAGTTTCCATTTGCCAGTCCAACTTTTTAGAATTGCAAAGCAGTTGTAATTTTAGACCATTTTTGCTATTTTCTAAAGGACAGGTTTTTTTCCTTTGGTGGTGCTAGAGTTTGAACTAGGGGCCTGGCACTTGCCAGGTAAGTACTCTGCCATTTGAGCAACTCCTCCAACACCTTCTCATGCCACACGGTTTCTTGTTCTGTTTTGTTTTTGTTTTTTTTTAAATTGTGGTGTTGCTAGTTTTCTTAAAGCATCAATATTTTCTGAGTCTTTCTTTATGGAACTTGAGTAGTTTCTGGTCAGTGACCTTACAGTTTTTTTAAACGATATTTCAGTAAAGTTATTTCAGGTATGCTTTTTATAGATTCACACTAATCATAATTTGGAATGTATTTTCTTTCTTTCTAAGGAAATACATGATGTGTGTGCTGTATCTAAATAAAGTCCTTTATGTGTAGGACTTGTGGTTAAATCGGGAGAAGAGGGAAGATTTTAGAACTATTATACATAATTGAAACAGTAGCATCTCACAATATCCTTGCCAGTTGGTGAGTTTTATGACTCTGGAATACTAGATTTTTAGCTATTGGAATTTATATTCTGGTAAACTCGTATGATGCCTTGGAACATTTTCTCTTGTACCTTTAAATTCAGATCTTTTGGTGATACAGTCTGAATGATCTTTCAACAAGATTAGCCATTTTTTAAATAGGTCTTTAAAGTATAGTCTTAGAGTCTCTGTCTGATTTAAGATATTTTATACTCACGCACTTGGTCTAGCACTGTTTTCCTTAGTTCTTTTGAGTGATTACTCTAGCATTAAGCCATGTAAAGAAACAGAATATGTGCTATTTTGAAAAGGACCATAGCTAATATATTTTTATAATCCTGGATTATGATAACCTTATTTATATGTTTTCTTTGTAGAAAGATAGTCATAGATTATTTTTAACTATGAAGTTTCTTTTTAAAATTACTCCTGAAACATTGTGAAAAAGATGTAGCGCTGTGTAAAAACAAAAGACTTTTTGGAAAGTGAACTTTTTAAGAAGGTAAAATGAATCACAAGTTGTTTTTGGTTTTTAGACTGTGAATTTTCCTTTAGTTATTTTCATCACTGCAACTCTGGGAATTCAAAATTAACATTCTTAGGAGTTTCTTATTAACTCCAAGAAAAATTTCAGCCTTGGATTCCACATTATTTTGCTGTGCTTTGTCCGAATGAACCTCTGTGAGCCACCTGGCACGCAGATTCTCTTCTTGCCCACATTTCTTTGGGGAAGACCACGTCCTCAAATGGCTCCCAAGGCATTTTGCTTGTTTTTCATGCAGCTTTTTTGAGTTGGCTTAGGAATAAAGATATATGGAGCACATACTACCCACAACCTTTTCTCCATTTCATGTATTAGCCAGGCTTGGATTTTCTGGGAGCAAAAAAAATTCAGTTGAAGAACTATAGAACAAAGATTGTGATAGCTCTCTGAGCACCACCACCTTCAGTTTTGTTGGCTGCTATGATGTTCGGTTCCCAGACCTGGACCTTGATGTACAAGTTCATCTCCAGCTCCAGAAGTGCATAGGAGATGCGGGACTCATGTGACAATTCTGAATTAGGTTTCATGATTTTTGGTACTCAAACTGAGTGCAACCTTGTCCTTGCTAAGCTCCAGCTTAGGAACAGGCCCCAGTATTTGTGTTTTATAGACTTGATAAAGAAGATTTTGTACTTTCTTTCAGAGACCAATTTCAGTAATTTATTGGTTGATCCCATGGAATTATTTCATTTAAACCTAATCAAACCTAGCCATGGCCATTCGGGGTTGTAGGTACATAGCAAGCAAGGTTTTGGTGCTATTAAACTTCCTTTTTCTTTCACAGAACTATTGCACAGCCAAAACATTGTACATATCTGATTCAGACAAAAGAAAACACTTCATGTTATCTGTAAAGATGTTCTATGGCAACAGTGATGACATTGGCGTGTTCCTCAGCAAGAGAATAAAAGTCATCTCCAAACCTTCCAAAAAGAAGCAGTCATTGAAAAATGCTGACTGTATGTATACTTGAGTTTTCTTATTTGTCCACAACTCCTACCAGGAATTAATACCACAAACATTTTAAAGTTAAAATGTTGCTTTTTAATAGGCAGTTCATTCCTTATTAGTATTTTTTGGCCCTTATTGTCCTTTTTTTTTTAATTGAAAAAAATTTTTTAAATTTACTGGTCTTGTAAAATGATTGCAACTTTTCCTGAGATTCTGAATCACTTCTTACTGCTTTTTTACTGCTCACAGGGGCATTTGGGAAAATATAGGGGTTTTTCCTTCTTTGGAAAATGACTGGTTGGGGAGGTAACATTTGATGTCTTAGGCCAATGATGCTAAATGTCCTGCAGTGTCCCACTCCAGAAAGGTTTGATCCACCTAGAATGTCAGAAATACCCCTTTGAAAAACAAGTGGGTTTGGAAGGCTAGCGTGTGAAACCAAAGTTTTTAGCATAACTGCTCCAGCAGAGACTGTGCTCTCATCAGCAAATTTTTAGACCACCAAAGATGAACAGTTTGCTTGAATTACATATTTCAACATTCACATGCTGCTTTTTCTTTCTTTTTTTTTTATTAACTATTTTCATTTAACTTTGAAATTTATGCAGAAAGAAGAAAGTAGTTTAATATAACAATCCTCCTGGCTTTGACAATCTTACAAACCTATACTATTTCATTGTCTCCATCACCACCAATACCTCTTCCTGTCCTGGCTACTGGAATATTTTAATATAAAGCTCAAACACCTGTTCTTTCAACCAAAATTTCTATAATAGTGACTGTTGTGTTAGCATGACTTTTTTCTTTTTTTTAAATATCATGCATGACAAAGTTGGCAGTTCTCTAATGCTGTTTAATACCCACTCTGTAGATTCTTCATCATGTCTCAGCATTGTCCTTTCATAGTGTGTTTTGTTGGTCTTCCCCCCCCCCCATTTTACAAGTCAGTTTGTTTAAACCTAGATCCAGATGAAGGTCCACAAATTTCAGTCTTTTCACCTTTTCTCTCTCCTGTCCAGTTTTCCTTCCATGTCATTTATTTGTTGAACAAACTGGGTCATTAAGATTGATTGTAGAAGTTCAGCTGTTTATGTAATCCATTCATAAAATTCCTGTGCAACCTGTAACCTAATGGTTTAGTGACTGTTGTTTCATTATGGGCTGCAAAACAGTAATTTTCTAGTTCTTTTCTTCATAACATATGCATTTGTTAGCTGGTTTTTTTCCCCCTCAAAGAACATTGCCATATTAGCCTTTTGCTTCAAATGTAGTTAGTAGAGAAAAGGTAGGATACATGTTTGATTGTTTACTAATTTGTTGAATATCAGTAATAGTATTTAATAGTGACAAGTGAGGTTTTAGGGATTTTATTTTGTGGTTTGTGTTTTGCTTTGTTTCCCATGGTTTTTTTGATGAATGTTTTTTATTCCAGTCAGTTCTTATTCATGTCATTTATTTAATATGGAAAATCCCAAACACATTGAAGCAGACAGATTCCACAGTAACATAAAACCCCCAAACCTCAGCAGTAATCTAAACATGAGGCTGATCGTGTTTTGTCTTTGTCTGTTCTCCAGCCCCAGCTCCCGTGACCCTGCCTTCATGTTAGTTTGTAAATCCCAGGCATCATATGATCTGTAAATATTTCTTTGTGACTCTAAAAGATGGTGTTTGCTTTTAATGTAATCATCATAATTACAAGAAAATAACATACAAAACAAGAAGAAATACTCTTAGTACCATCAAATATCAAGTTAATATTCAATTTTAAATTTGACTTTTTAAATTTTAAAATGTAAGATTTTAATCAGTTTGAGTCAAACCTGAAATTCACCAGATATTACAATATATATTGTGTCGACGTGTCCTTCAGGAGTTTTTAATCTGTATCATGCACCCCCAACACCCCCAATTGATTTGAGAGACTTTAGCCATTAGAATTTCCACATTCTGGATTTTTTAAGTTCATTCCTTTGGTGTAGTTTCATATATTTTCTGTTAAGTTGGTAGTACCAGAAAAAAAAACATAGCCAGACACTAGTTAAAGAGACTGAAGTATAGAACCAAGTTCAATTTCAAAATACAACAACGACAAATGGGAATTTTTAGCCAGGGAGGAAATTAAGTAGGGTGGGGGGATTTATTAAGAGGAAACAAGGCTAGGAGAATTTTTGTGAAGGCTACTCAACAAGGCCTCTGGGAAAGATAGACCAAGATATTATGTACCAGGGGAGAGGGCTAACTTAGGATTCACTACCACTAGGATAATGCTCAGAGGGGACATTCTTACAGTTAGTCAGTGATTAATCCAGACTCTTGGCCAGACTTAAGCTTCTTCTTTTCTTAATGCTAATGGGCAAGGCTTCATAGTGCACCAGGAGGGATATAATGTGTTGTATTCAGGCTATCTCTGATTTTACAGAGGTTTTGAAAAATAAAAACTTCTTTAACTTTGTGTTTATATTGGGAGTTTTTTGATGTCACAGAACATATTTCACTTTCAGAATATTTTCCTGCTTATAGATGTATTTTCACATCTAAAGTAAGTTCTATATTATAAATTATAGTGCAAATAAGTATTGTTTTTCATATAGCATAATACTGTAAGGTATTTAGAAGAGAACAGAATTTTCTAAAATTATAATATGCAGAGGCAGTGGTTATCAGCTTTGGGAAACATCCTTCTAGACCCTTTTATTTGCATATATTCGTGGGACTGGATGCAAGCATGGGGAGGCACACATACAATCCCACAAATACATATGTATATACATGCCTAATCAGAACACAGTGTTTTTTTTTTATTATTCATATGTACATACAATGCTTGGGTCATTTCTCCCCCCTGCCCCCACCTTCTCCCTTACCACCCACTCCGCCCCCTCCCTCTCCCCCCCACCCCCTCAATACCCGGCAGAAACTATTTTGCCCTTATCAGAACAGAGTGTTTTTTAGTCTGCTTTTCCATTCAGTGATATTCCAGGGAAATAGTTCCTTATCAGTATACCATATTTAATTAGGTATACCATATTTAAATGGGTGAATGGTATTGTAATTATTTAATCAAATGTCTACTACTGGACATTATTATTTTAAAAATGATTTTTCCTCTACTGATCAGCACATTAGTCTGTGTAGCTCTCTTTTCAGGTGACTTTTAAAATTTATCATCAGCCTGACAATTATCTCAGCCGCCTTTTTTGCTATCACGTCTGTGCTTTCTTAGAAGGTTGAAATATTTGTCATCAGAATATTATTGTTGCATTAAAGCCTAATCATAGCTTGTCAGGCAGAAGGCCCTTCTTGTGGGCTTCTGTCCCAGTCACATAAATAAGGGCTGTTTTTCCTTTGCAGTGTGCATTGCCTCAGGAACTAAGGTGGCTTTGTTTAATCGACTTCGATCCCAGACAGTTAGTACCAGATACTTGCATGTAGAAGGAGGCAATTTCCATGCCAGCTCACAGCAATGGGGAGCGTTTTACATTCACCTCTGTGAGTATAAAAAATGTGCACCTGATACTTCTAGTATGAAATCGCTCATTTTTTTCCCTGTAAGATAAATATATGTATTAAGTTTTCTCATTTTCCTAAGCAGATAATAAATTCTAAAAGATGATAATTTGATCTATTTTTCCACCACTGCAGTGGATGATGACGAATCGGAAGGAGAAGAATTCACAGTCCGAGATGGTTACATCCACTATGGGCAAACAGTCAAGCTTGTGTGCTCCGTTACTGGCATGGCACTCCCAAGATTGGTAAGGCTCTACTTTTGGTTTAGTGAATGAGAAACAACAATAATTCCTAAAATAGGAAACATGGGGAAACTACACCTCAATTTTGCACTTTTTAATTTAGAAAGGTAATCAGTAATTCTTAAGCAAACGAATAATTGTATTCTACCTTTTTCCCGAAGTCTTTTAATGGAACTGGCTTATTTTTACAACGTACATTGTTAATAACTTCCTATTACACTATTTCTAACAAACTTGATAGACTGCTGCTTGTTTGGTTGTATATCTGAGCACATGCGATAGAGGGCACTGTAAATGGCAGTATGAGTGTTTTTTCTTTACTAATGTAAACCCACCATATTCATTTTTTGTACTACCTGCTATATCCGAATGACCAGGTTTACAAAAGCATAGAAAATCCTATTCCTTTTACATATGAACGTAATTTTTATTAGACTACTGTAAAGCACAACTTTATTAAAAGTTAAGTGAAGTTGCTATTTCTTATCTCAGAAGAGAGGCTTAGGATTTTGGACTTTTTGTCCACTGGGAGATCTTGAAACTAAAAATTGATGTTTCTCAGGAAATGACATCAAAAGTCACTTAACAGCTCTATCCCCTTCCCATTTTTCCTTTCTCTTTCTCAAAGAGTACAGTTTAGTAATACTAAAGATGACAGGGATATGTGAATAAGTTTGTTTCAAGGTCAGGTTGAGGATGTTGGGCAAGTAGAAGAATATTTACTAATACTGTTCCTTACTATGTTTACATATTTACCTCTTTGGTGAAATATTTCATTGACATATTTCAGCAGAGACTGGGTTGATCTATAGTTGTCCAAATAAATGCATCACTGCATTGTTTTTCTGTTTTCTTCCCCTTCCCCCCGTCATACTTGTACAAGGTGATTTAGTTCCCATTTCAATAAGCTAAAATATGTGAGGTATAGTATTAATCTATTACAATAAAAAGTAGACGAGTGGGAGTTAAAATGGAAAGAAAGAAGCAAGCACATCAGCAGTAGTAGAACCTAAGTAGTAGTTCTCACTGTGAACGAGTCACTATTGAAAGGATGGTATTCATTCACTTTGCTTGCACTACAGAAGCACAAAGCCACAGGCTTGTTACGCCTCTGGTCTCACAGCTTACATGTGAACGACGTGGAAGACAGACCCAAATCTTAAAAGTATTTTCACGTGAAGTACAATATTCCCCTTTAAAGATTAGTATTGGTAAGATGGCAAAAATTCTGATTAAACTAGAGCTAAAATAGTGTAATCATAAAGAATAGTAACTGAAGATTGAGGCTTTATACAGTTGTGGTTTAGCTAAGCAAAATAATCTTTGAGTGTAAAGGAGGGGTGAATCAAGTAGTAAAAGCCAATAATGTTATATAATATTAATAGCAATATTGTAAGCACTTCTGCATACATTGTTTCATTCAGTCATCACAAAACTCTGTGAGTAGAGTAGTTACTGTTATGGATTGTGGAACAGCACTTTATGTCAGTGCATGGACTTGTGTGCATTCTTCACATAGTCCTGAGCACCTTCTCAGATTGTCCAGATGCCTGAGATAGAATGTAAGCCTTTCCTATGAAGCAGCTTACATTTTGGTAGGAGATAGTAACAGCTTAAAAACATACCACATATGTAAAGATTATGTAGTGATGAGAAGACCAACTAAAACAGGGTAAAGGAATAGAGAATTGGGGAGTGTATGGAGAGGTCAGGGAAGTCTTTTTGAAGTGAAAATGTGTGATCAAGGACCAGAATGAAGTCAAGGAATTGGTGAGCAGAGCATTTGAGAGAACAAGTACAACAGAAATTAAGGTGGGAATGAATGGGCAATGGTAAGGAGACCAGTGTGTCTAGAGGAGAGAGGAGGGTGGTGAGTGGCAGAAATGAAGCCTCAAGGTTAGCCATGGCAAGGAGCTTGTAGGGTTCCTATATTTAGGATAAGGACTTTATCTTTTCCTCTGTATGCTAGAAAGTCACTGGAGGTATTTAAACAGGGAATGATGTCCCACTTAGAAGGATAGTTCTGGCTGCTATATGGAGAAAGACCACATAGGGATGTGGTAGTGGAGGACAATTATTAAACTGTGAATTGAGGTGGATCAGGTTGAAATCCAAAATTCACTTTTGATAATGTTAAGCTTGAGATGCCTATTGGACATCAAAAATGGAAATGTTAACCAGGTAGTTAAATAAGTAAGTTAAGTGCAGAAGAGCGAATAGGGCCTGAGATAAAAAATTTGGGAGGCGCCAACCTGTAAACAGTGCAGTTAGTATAGATTATGAATTGAGGAAAAGAGGTCTGTGGACTCACTTTGGGCTCCTTAGAGCACCTGTGACCTCAAAAGCAGAATGTGTGTGTAAGGTGCTTCCAAGAATGTGAAGTAAGATGAGCACAGAAATGGCATGAGATGCATTGTCTGAAAGTCCTTGGTGGCCTTGGAAAGCAGCTGTAATTGAGTCTTTGAGACAAAAGGCTAGAGAGGCTGAGCGAGATGGAACAGTGGGGAAGAGGGGAGCAGAGAAACAGGGTTGGTTGGTGGGAGGGAAGGGTAGAGAAGTAATCAGGAAAGGCTTTTTCCTTTTTTAATCTGAGAAGTAGTGATAACATACTTGTATGCTATTGGAAGTGATCAGAAAAAAGGGAAAATGAGAGCAAAGGTGGTTTTGGCTGTATGAAACCTTGCTCTTCGTCATCATGACCTTAGTGATTACCTTATGTGTTGTTATTTAAAGTTGCTGGTGCTGTCTTTGAGATATCCACCTGTGTTTTGTGGACTTGTTGGATTGATTATATGATTATAGAGTGATGGAAAGAAGTCAGGCTAGGCAGGCAGCCCAGCCCTGGGGTCCTATTCTGGCCCTTAAGCTTACTAACCTTGGGACTTTAAGCGATTTACTTAACCTGTCCAAGCCCATTTCCAAAATTATTTTACTTCAGTTTGGCTTTGAAGTGTATAATTAGATAGTGGATATAAAATGTCTGCTATGACTGGCATGCCACAGTAGTCTTCTAGGGATTTTCCCCTTTGATTTTGGGATATTTATGTGTTACTGAGAGCAAGAGAACTTGCTAGTCAAAATGTAGTCCCATGCAAATTTGTTAGAAATTCAGAATATCAGGCTCCAAATGAGCTGTGGTAGAACAGACAGAACCTGTATTTTTAACAAGAACTTCAGACAATTATTTATATGTACATGAATGTTTGAGAGGCACTGGTCCAGAAAACAAGTGCCTGCTGGCCTTATTTTTTTTCATATGTTCTTAGAAAAGGGTAGTAATTTCTACATTCTAATGTATATGCTTTGTACAAAGTTAAAGGAATTTTCCATTTCTAGCCTTACTGTTTGCAAATGTTTTTTCATATGCAGGTATAGGATGAGTAACCAATATGTTATGTAACACATAGTACATAATGTAACTTTTTTTTGTGGTTCTAGAGTTTGAACTCAGGGCTTCGAGCTTGCAAGGCAGGTTCCCTGTTGCTTGAGCCACACCTCCGACCCTTTTTGGTCTGGTTATTTGGAGATAGTGTTACGTGCCAGTGTGAAATGTTGTAGGCTGGTGTCAAGGGGTTCTTGATTTTGAAGGCCAGAGAACTGGCTGTGAGGCAGCTGATTAACTTGTGAGCCAAGGCCAGTACACAAAGTAGGATTTATTAGAGAGAAAGGAAAGGCTACAGCCAGAGCAGTGCAGTGGAGCCTGGAAACCAGTGGCTCCCTGCTAGGATGAAGGCTGGGGCTTTTTATGGACACTTTAACTCTGAGTTAGGGTATCAGTTAAGTGGGTTTTTTCTGTTGGCCTGGATTTGTGTTCATGGGCTCTCTTAGATGAGCTGGTCTGTTTGTCCCTTATTGTGGGGGCAGGGAATACCTTGAGAGCATTCTGTTTATCAGCCCTATGGCAGATTTATGAGACCCTGTTTCTCTTCCTCAGGATGCAGGAATGCAGATTTATAACTCCTCCTCAGGGTGCAGGGCTTACAGTGCTCTCCATGGGGCATGGGATACTCACTCATTTGCCCTTTAGGTTCCCAGACCCAACAATAGAATCTTGCTTTTTCAAGCAGCCAGCCTAGACGTGGCTCCTCCTGTTTTATACTTCCCACTGTCACTGGGATGACACGTGTGCACACCACACCCAACGTTGGTTGAGATAGGGGAGTCTTGCAAACTATTTGCCTAAGTTGCCTTTGAACCTCAATCCTCCCAATCTCAAGTAGTTGGGATTACAGACATGAGCTACCAGTGCCCAGGTCATACTGTACTCTTGATAGTGCAGAAAATAAAAACTCTTGTCCATTTGTGGATGACCTTTTATTTTTAATTGCTGAAATCTAGATAATTAGGAAAGTTGACAAGCAGACGGCATTGCTGGATGCGGATGATCCTGTCTCACAGCTGCATAAATGTGCGTTTTACCTTAAGGATACAGAAAGAATGTACTTGTGCCTTTCTCAAGAAAGGATAATCCAATTTCAGGTATGTGTTAAAATTATTGTTGAACTCTTAACACGTAAACCAGAGGTGGAGTTGCTGCTCAGTGGTAGAACATTTTCTTACTAGCATGTACAAGGTCCTGGGTTCAAACCCCAGCACTGCCAAAAAAGCAATAAATAAATGAAATGTACTGCAAACTGTTAGATTAGCAGTTTACTAATCCAGCTAATCATTTGCTGCTAATTGAATCCAAACACATGAAACTGTATTCATGTGTTTATCTTAAGTCCAGTAGCCCTTAGCACACATAGTGCCGATGGTCCTTTCAGGGAAGAATTCAAAACTATGAAAATGTTCTTAGAGAAAGAGTTTATGTCCAGTTCCAGGGTTCTTCATCTGGGAGACAGAGAGCTCCTGAGAATATCTAACAATAGATCTCTGGTGTTCAGGGAGTCCTCTGAAATTATTATGTGCGTACACTGTGTAGACAAAGCAATTCTGGAAGGGGGTTCAAATTCTCATCAGCTTAATATTGGTACTATCCCAAGATAGTAATGATGTCATGATTCAAAAGCTAATTTTCAACTTCATTTACTCAGAAGGACATTAATGACATGGATAGATGATTTAATAGGGTAGTTAGTTTTATGCCAAACTCCCATTCCAGAGAGATGACCACACACCACACTAATGGGAAGGGAATGCTGGGTCCCAGTTTAGGTTTGTTATGCCAGGGGCAGAGGCAGGGGCAGGGCATTGCCAATTCAGAGTTGCTTTCCTCCTGGTGCAAGTGCATGAGCCCCAAGCTGTTCTCTAAACAGAAGGGTCTCTTTCTTAGGGGGCCTCATGTGTTTACATCACAGGTACTCATCTTCTGTTAAAGATAGGCATGGTTAATTATCATTCTGAAGGGTATTACTAATTATTTAACATAGCCCTGAAACAGTGTATTGTCACAAAAACTTATAGTGTCTGTCAACTGCTTTATTAATATTCTGTTTATGTTTCTTTAGAGATTGGCAAAGCAGCATGCTTTAGGAAGCTTATAGGTTTTGTTTTTTTACTAAATTCTTGTTAATGCGAGTCTGAACGTTATTTGGTAAATTCTCTATATTGCAATGTGTCTAAACCTCAGTTTCTGAACTTCATCAGGCCACTCCATGTCCAAAAGAACCAAATAAGGAGATGATAAATGATGGAGCCTCCTGGACAATCATTAGCACGGATAAGGCAGAGTACACGTTTTACGAGGGGATGGGCCCGGTCCTTGCCCCAGTCACCCCTGTGCCTGTTGTAGAAAGTCTGCAGGTGAGACTGCTTACTCACAAGAGGGCTTTTAGCTTTTTACAGCTCCTCTTAGCTTTGACTGCCACAGATCTGTTTCACAGTAATTTGGATTTTTCTTCAAATCATGTGACCTGGGGATTTTTATCACATTATTTTTTTTAATTAAAAAATGAAAATAGGAGCAACATACTTATGTGGAAGAAATTTTAAATTTATATCTAAATCAACTGGTATGTTACCTTGAAATGTTTTTATCTAAATCTGTGGTCATGCCATTTAGAAGAAACATTTTACAAATCTAAACTTTTATAGACTTTCATAAATGAAAGTTGAATGAGAATCTAATTTGTATACTTTAATGAAAAAGGATGTTTTAATATTGTGATTTTCTTTGAATTGCAGTTGAATGGCGGCGGGGATGTAGCAATGCTTGAACTTACAGGACAGAATTTCACTCCAAATTTACGAGTGTGGTTTGGGGATGTGGAAGCTGAAACCATGTACAGGTACTGGGGGTAAAACCTTTTTCATCATCTGGGGTTTGTGGGGACACAAGATTGTTTCCTGATATCCACTGTGATGTGTTAAACAACTGTGTTTTAAGTCTCAATTCAGAAATGTGTTTTCCTTTATAAAGTATGTTTAAGTGATTTATTTTTCTTCCTCAGATGTGGAGAGAGTATGCTCTGTGTTGTCCCAGACATTTCTGCATTCCGAGAAGGTTGGAGATGGGTCCGGCAGCCAGTCCAGGTTCCAGTAACTTTGGTCCGAAATGACGGAATCATTTATTCCACCAGCCTTACCTTTACCTACACACCAGAACCAGGTCCACGGCCACACTGCAGTGCAGCAGGGGCAATCCTTCGAGCCAACTCAAGCCAAGTGCCCCCTAATGAGTCAAACACAAACAGCGAGGGAAGTTACACAAATGCCAGCACAAATTCAACCAGTGTCACAACATCTACAGCAACAGTGGTGTCCTAACTACCGTCTTCTGTTGGGACTTAAACTGACTTGAGTGTGGCAGAAAATTGACAAAAAACAAAAAGGAAGAAAAAAAATGAACAATCTTTTGTGGTTTCTTGGGAAAACTTTTCATACAAGGTGATGTTATTCAAAAACCCTGTTTGCCTGCAAGTGCTGATTTGAAATGCAGAAGCCACAGTAAAACAAACAAACAAAAAAACATCAAAATGTACAACTATTGGAAATCAAGTTTTTCAACTTTTTTTTTTTTTTCCATGTTGTTTGGTTGGTTTTTGTTTGCTTTTGTTTAGGCAAGAAATAAATATGTGGCTGGAATAAAAGTTAAGCAAACTAGAAAATACAAATCTAACATAGTTTTTATGGACCAAGGAACTTGTATAAGCTTTAGTAAAAGGTACATTTTCACCATACCTTTTTTTTATATCACGGTATCTAGTACACCTTGTTACCAAATAGGTTGTTCTCCCCACGCCTTTGAGCTTTTGCTCTAAAGTACATTCAGGTTCCAAGCCTGGCCATGCTTGTGTAATCTAATTACCATACACTTCCAGGTTCTTTTGGTCTAAGGCTGGAACTTTTTTTTTTTTTTTTTTAAGCTGAAGTCTTATGACTTTTCCATGAGTTGAAATATTTTTATTTCAGCAAGTCAAACCTTGTAAAGGCCTCCATATTTTTTTTAAGATTATATGAAGTCTGTGCAAAAGCTTTAAAGAAAATGCCTCTGCCTTGCCTGCAATACATGCAATGTTAACTTAGTCTCTTCTCAGACACTGTTGGTAGCTATTTCTGTGTTTTCCTTTTTTAAAAAAGAAATGTATTTATAGTGGTAATCAGAGAAGTTCTAACATTTACATGAAATTCAGTGTGGCCGTTTAGTCATTAATGAGTTAATGGCATGGAACATGTTAGTATTTGAAGTGTTCTTTCTTTTTCTGTGCATTAGTACATCAGTGTGTTCCAGGGTTTGTTCAGGTCCCCCCTCCCCAATCTTGTACATAACTTGTATTATGTGTAAGTTAAACATTTTATTTTGAACTTGGAATGTTCCCAGTGATTTCATTCAGCAGGTGTTTTCTGCCTTGTTGGCAAATGACAAAAAATATCATGAAAAGTATTTGCTACCAAGTGGTAGATGATGCCCTTATGTTGGAATGAGGAAAATCTCAGCAAAATATGTTTTATTATTGTATTTTTTTTAATAGCCTAGGCCAGAACAGCATTGTAATCTTAAAACATAAGCTTTTATTAGATGATCAACTAAAATAGCTGGAAGACAGTACATTAGAAACAGGTAGTTGTAAGTTTTTAAAAATGCAAATGTAACTTATGTTTCCATTGTTTTCTCTGCCTTTTAAATTTTTCTCTTTCTCAGTACTGAGGGTCTCCACAAACGTCTTATTTCTTTTCCTTTCACTGACGATCTGGATACATTCAGGGTTGTGTGTCAGCCTTGCATGCTAATCTCACCAATTTCATATTGCTTCCATTCCTGCACTTTGGTTATGCCTTTGTTCAGTTTCTTAAGAAATGCAGCAAAGTCATTAGGCTACATTTAGTACAGGAATCACATATGTAGTGTTATAGGATACTGTCTAGTAACAATCATCCTTAGAGTAAAAACTACCTCTAGGTTGTGGTAAGCTTTTACTGTCCCATAAAACAAGAACCACAAGTACCTTATGAATGCAAAACTGTAACTTCTTGCAGTGTTTCCAGTATCTTTCTGGTGTCTAAGACTGTTTCCATTAATAGACTTCTCAAAAATCACCTGTTAGAGAATTTTTTCCAGTTTTGCTGTGTTCATCATTCATTCGTCTACGTAGACTGTGCCACTGTAAATTCTCATATCTTTAAATTGCCTTTTCCCCAGTTTTCAAGGGGAAATTCATTTGTAAAACACGTGAGGTGGTAAATCAAAGTTACTGTGGTTTTCTCTCACTGCAAGCCTATTTTTAATCACCTCCCAGGCACATTATATGAGATGTAGCCTTTTCTTTTCTCTTCAGATCTATAGTCACTCCCTTCTTTCCTATAAGCAAATCTGCCTCATCCCTTAAGTCTGATTCAGTGATCAAAGGCAGAACTCGTTGTGGCCTTATCTTCCTTCGTTAACTGTTCACTGGCTTTGACTCGCAGACTTGCCTGTTTCTCAGTAGCATGTATTCTCTCTCTTGAGTCATGGAAGTAGTCATTACACAGTACTTTTTGTTCAGAGAGTGAAAATGGTTCCAGTGCTGCTTTAATTTTAGTGGGCCACAAGTTTCCTCCACTTCCAAGATTTGGAATTTAGTTAAGAAATCTATGAAATTAACCAGTAACAAATGAAATGCTTTTGAAGAACAAACTATTCCTTACCCAGGTAAATAATTTTTCAGTTTCATGGGTTTATTAAAATGAACTTCTTCTTTTTTGTAATGTTTATATCTTATCTCTGTTCTTTTGTTTCTTTTAATAAGACAGTTTCCTGTGGTTTGTTTTTTTTTTCCAAGTCTAAGAATGTAAGCCACATAGGCATTTTCCCACCTGTTTTATGCTATTCTCATACTGCAGACTAAAAGAGTAAAATGATATATCTGTTCTAGCTTATTGTTAATCATAGGGGTTTTTTTTTGTCACCTGCTTTTAAAAAGTCTTTTTTTGTGGATTTCTGAATCATTTTCAGTGTCTGATTGATGGGCGCCTTGACCTCGTCATAGTAGAAGATACGTCTCTCCCAGTGGTGGCATTGGAGGTGCTGATCAATACCCTTATAAATGCTCTGAGAATGATGAGCTTTTCAGTTAAAATATAGTATGTTTGATTTTTTAAATTTCTGGTGTTGTCATTCTATGCAGTTTCTCAAAATAGCTGCAGGTACTGAGCCTATGCCCCATGCTTTTTATTAATTTCATTGAATTTGTCACAGAGATTAGAAGCTAAGACTTCAAACATGAATGCCTTTATATTTGATTGATTTCAGAGTTGAACACTATGTAATATTTAACTTTTACTGTGGCAATGAAAGGCATCCTCATATAGAAATAATTAGTGAAATATTTGTCACTTATTTTTTTGAGATAGGGTCTTCCTATGCAGCCCAGGCTGGCCTTCAACTCAAAATCTTCCTGCCTCAGCCTCCCAAGTGCTGGTGTTACAGGCCTGTGCCACCATTCCCAGCACAGCTTTGGTTTTTAATGAAATTAGTAACATCTGTGCACTTGCAGAGAATTTCCAAAGTCATTTTTAAGAACTAACCTTTACTAGTCATGTTAATCAGAAAAACCGTGTGGGTGGGGGTTTCTTTTTAAAACAAATGCTATTCAGTTATTAACCAAGTTAACTTACCTTATTTTCAAAAGCAGCTGTGTTTCTATGAGTACTGAACAAATGTGTGTAATTTTCTGTGCCAGACTTTTGGCTTTGTTTTCAAGCACTGTAATTTGGTATGGATGGTTAGAAACAATAATATATTAGGGTTTCCATTTAACCCTTTCAGGACTGAACTGTATCTCCTTTGATTAATTTTCCCCTGTGTCGTGATAAATGTTTGCCAGCATTCAGTACTGTGTTGATTGAGAGGTAGGTTTATATGCTCATTTTTAGCTTGTTTCTCGTACCCTGCAGCATGCAATACACATTCAGTCCTTAAGGGGTTTATTTTACCAACTGTGCGCCTGTAAGGTTTATTAGCAATAAAATAGAAAATTGAGCAAGTTTATATCATAATTTTGTAGAAAAAAAGAATCTGCTCAGTTCCATATTTCATCCATGAAAACCTGCAATATGGGCAGTTTCAAGGAATAAATAAAAAAGGAAATGTAAACCATTGTAAAGTCTTCTGTTGGATGTGCCTGATGCATGTATATCGTCTGATTTCATAATACTTCATAAAGACAAAATTAAATCCTGTATTTCATTCTGTGTATTTACAATCTTCTGCATCACATCAGAGTGATAATTGTGCTAAATTAATTTCTGTTTTGATGTTTTTAATGTCCTCCCCCCCCCCCCAATATTGACAGAGAATTGGGCTTTGTTACTCCAAGGGCGTATCTCCCAATCCAGGACCGTTTAAAACTGATCTCAACAAAATTGGAGCATGCTGTTCAGCACACTTTCTTTTCCAGTACAAGGTGGTCAATTGGTCTGGTTTATCAAGGAACACATGATGGCTTATGCCTTTGTGGGGAGGGATCCCCAGAAGCAGGGACAGAATACACTTTATGTGGTATTGAGACAGAAATTTAAAGGAAAAAGCTGTGCAAGTTTTAGTTCTTACCTGCCCTTGCAAAGAAAGAATCTAAAGTTATGAGAAAGCATCTTGCTATAAAAAGTATTCATTGTTAAATAAAGTAAGAAATAACTGAATGGTGAGGCCTCTAAAGGTTAAGATTGACAGTGGTTCATTTGATTTCTTAGAATAATAAGGTTTTCTCCTTGCTATAAAATGATATGTGATCTCTTTCTAAACAGTCTTACCAAAAATACATCAAATGTGTTACCTTCTTTTGTTGTTACTGATCCCTAAATGGTCACTGATTACAGCAGCACAGAAAGCAAGCTCGATTAGTTTCCAAAACTACTAAAGTGCATGATAAGAGAAGGAAGACATCTCCCTCAAAAATAATCTACAAAAGCCAAAAAGTTTAGTAGTAGAAAGCAGCTGAGGGAGACAGATGAAGCTTTTGTGTATATGCAGTACAAGTGAGGTGATTCTGACTCGCCTTGACCTAGGGTTAGAACCTAAAGCATGAGGCTAAAAGAGCAGTGAGACATAGGCCCTGTCAGCTTCTGTAGAACTGTAGACAGTGGGTTAAGGGGAAGACTGTGTGACTGTGCATAGATAGTCAAGAGTTTGAAACTGCTGTGTTCACATGTGTAACAATCATGACTAATCTTGATTTATAGAAAATGTGGGTAAATATTCTATGATACAGAAAAATATTGTCGAAATTTGCAGTCTTTTGCTTTGGGGAGGGGACACTTAAAGAGTGCTGCTCTGTGAGCATTGTTGTGAAGGTGCAGAGGAGGTGTGGGTATAGCATCTATTTGTTCTTCATAACGAGTGTGGTGCCTGCTTCCCACCTCCTTTACTGCCCTGCTAATCAGCACAGAAGAGCAAGCTGGTTGGTCATTGTTTACCGTAAGTTCCCAAGTTGTCAGTTCAGAAACACCCCACTTTCATGAGATGAAAGAGTAAGGAT